TCGCGGTGGCAGACTATTTCTCTGGCGATATCTCTATCGGCGGTGCAGACGCTGTTGCGCCTGACAGAGAATGAGGTGCCTTTGCTGAAGTCCTTGATGATAAACGAACGCCTTGACAACCCGCACGACATTTCTCAATGGACCCTACCACAGGCCTGTATTCTTCACGCCTCAGGGCTTACCGAGTTTTCTTTAATGGGCCGCAACGCCCACTCCCCGGACTTGCCCCTTCGCTGGAGCCATTTGACTGCTCTAACCCTCATGGGCTCGGGCTGGGGCCCGGGTGGGAGCACGGTGAATCCACAGACATGCCGGGTCGTTCTGGACATTCTCTCCAGGTGCTCTGAACTCAGGGCTTGTACACTACTGGTTCATGCGCCTTTGGATGTACACCTCCGGGACTTCGTCGTCGAATGTCCTTTTCTCCACACCTTCGACCTTTTTTGTGACGATATCCCCCTTCAGGTAGCAGACCGGTTGTTAAGCCACCTTTCGCTACCTGAGTTGCGGGATTTCAAGCTTAGAGGAGTCAAACTCGAGGACCCTCAGAGCGCCTTCAGCGCAGACTCAGTCCTGTCATTTCTCACTACCTTGACTCAGTTAGAAAGCATCAGCGTCGACAGTGCTATATTTTCCAAGCCGATTCTGATAAACTCCCTTCACGCGCTGCCACCGACCGTCCTGCACCTTACCATCACGAATCCCACGTGGCGACCACCAGGTCGCGAAGATGCGATATTCGACGACGAGGTCCTTGAGGCTTTGGCTACATTTCCGGATCGCCCAAGCCACATCCCCGCGCTCCAGGAAGTGGTCGTACACTACTGTCCCAAATTGTCTGACGAGGCTCTCCTTCGCTTCATAATGTCCAGGCCCACACTGAAGCTCGTTGACATCAAGTTCGACCGGGAACGGAAGATTGATATACTTCCGAGCCTTCAGCCCTTTACCGAGGCTGGTTTGAAGACATCCATCACATACAGTACTCTTCCACCTCCGCAGTTTTCGCCTTGGCAGGGATTGCCCGACGTACCTCTTACGCTTTGGGGGTCTCCTTGAAATATTATTGTTCAAATCATATTCAATATAGCAGCCTCGGTTCTGTAAGATAAAACCCGTACGGGCCTCGTATATATGCTCGATGATTCATTGTCCAATTCTCAAGAAAACGCCACAACACGACTCTGTACGCTTAAGCGCTCTTCATCGCCCTCCAACTCAGCAGACAGGTAGTTCAGCACACCCGTAAGGCGGAGGCCAGCCTGCACGAGAAGCTTCTCAACAATCTGTTGCTCACTTATCACGCAGTAGCTTTCAGTACTTCGCCCAGAACAGGCAGTTAAATCAATCTAGATCAGACAAGGCGCGTTGACCCCAATGACAAACAGTTCATGTTTCGCAGGCAGGCTTAGCAAGATAAGTACAGATGCAAAATACAGATTACGAAGGCGGCAGAGGGAAGTTCGTCAGTTGTGTCGCAGTCCCCGTCAAAGTAAACGCGTGCGTAAGTTGTTGCGGGACATCGAGGCTCAATGTATATGAGCCCGGGAAGAGCCACGCGCTTCCGTTAGCATCCGTCCGGGCGATAGACCCCAAGGTGACTTTCAGCTGGGTGGTGGCTGTAGCGCCGGCAGCGACGGCGTGGACCCGCGAGTACGATATCAGTTCCTTTAGTGGGTGCGGCGCAGGCCCCGCTGTGCTCGTGACAAACAGGAGGGATACAAAATCCGAGGCCACCGTGCCTGTGTTGTGTACGTTGAGGTTGAAGACGTCAAATACGCCAAGATCGAGGAAAGGCGCGCTTCCAGCGTTCGCAACAAGCGTCGCGATACCGTACGTGGCAGCCGGAGTGGTCTGGAACGCGAGAGAGAAGGTGGTATAGTGAAGACCGGCGCCAAATGGATAAACGATCTCTCCGCCGTACCACTTGTAGGTGCGTCCGGGATTTCCAGTTGCCGTGTTTGGTCGAAGGTTCATGTCTGTCATCGCGACATGCGACGTATATGTGGCCGGGTATTGCGTAATCGGCAGTCGTCCAGCAGGCGCTACCTTCCCGCCGATAATGTCAAACAGCGCCGTCCCACCACTCTGTCCTGGGTAGCCTGCCCAAATGATCGAATTGACCTGAAAACGATTTCAGTGAGCATGTACATAGTACCATGGCAAACATGCAACGTACCCCAGAGTTTGACTTTAACACCGTATTATCAACTTGGCCGCCACCAAACTGCACGACAACAAGCGGCTTTCCGACGGTAGCAAGGCTTTGAATGAGGTTTAGCTGCACACCGGGCCACACGATACTTGTCCGATCGAGCGACTCGGCCTCGACTGTGTTGTCGATTCCACCGGCGTAGACGATAACGTCTGCTGCCTCGGCAGCGGCCATAGCACCTGCGAAGCCACTCGTATCGGTACCGGATATCGTAGTGCCCTGGACAAAGGTGACGCTGTACCCAGCAGCGACGGCACCAGCCAAGGGACTGATGAGAAACGGAGGAGTCCCAAAGTAGTTCCCTTGCATAGCTACGGTGGCGTTACCCGAAGGCCCAATGAGCGCGATCTTGAGTCCGCGTTTGAGCGGAAGGGTGTTGCCGCTGTTCTTCAGAAGGACCATGCCCTCTGCTGCGACGGTGTACGCAAGAGTTTGCGCAGCGGAGGTGCTGACATCCGACCAACCAAGCTGTCGGTACGGCTGCACGTCAGCTGGATCAAAGTATCCGGCGCTGATAAGACAAGCGTGAGCATCCATGCTGCTCTAGCGTCGTCGATACTCACCGCACGAGTCCGGCATACTGGTGAACAAGAGCATTCGAAATATCGCTGTCCGTGATCAAATTTTCATTACGGGCTGCGAGGAGGTGAGCACTGAAGGTGGACCCGCAGTTGACATCGGTGCCAGCCTTGAGAGCAGCAGCAGCCGCTGCCTCGATGGAGCTCGTAAAGTTGTGGGTCGCGAAAATGTCCGAGACCGCATCGCAGTCGGATACGACCCAGCGATCGTCACCGAAGCCCCAGTAATCGCGGAGAATGGTTTGTAAAAGGTATGAGTCCGCACACGCCGGGGGACCATTCAGGGAGTTGTAGCTGCACATAACTAGTTTTGCAATGAGTTTTCAAGGTACCGGTATGAAGAAGGACTAACCTGAAGCGACTCTGTGAGTGGACGAGTGATTAGCGGAGAGAAGGAAGGCTGATTCGGAGAGACTAACTTGGCATCGCGGACACAGCTTTGGAAGGATGGCAAGTAATACTCGCTCAGCTCCTGGGCCGTAATAATCGCGTTGAAGGCATGGCGGGAGACGCCGCCTAATCCCCAGTCAATCATCGCATTTCGATCACGGGCAATCGGGTCTCACCACTTGCTTCAAGATCATATCCAGCTGGCAGACACAGATTAAAAACGTTATTATTGCGTTTAGGGGTTATACACACCCAGGTGTTTGCAGTCCGCCATCACCTTGAAGTACGGCTTCGGGTCTATGCCTCCTTGAAGACCGTCGATGAGGTTGAGAACGTACTGCGAAACGTGGAACGGGTCTTCGCCGGGAGTTTCCTGACCACGACCCCAGCGCGGGTCCCGAAAGGGATTTATGTTTGGGGTCCAAAAGTCCAGGCCCGCACGTCCGACGTTGTTGAACGCTCGGGCCTCGGTGCTGATCGTGCTGGCTACCGATTTGACGAGGGGATCGTCGAATGCTGCGCCGAGGAGGATAGGTTGCGGGAACGAGGTTGCGAAGCTGAAATTGCCGCTCGCCGCAAAGCTGATTCCATGTTTGTTCACCAAGCCATGCTATGCAACGAGATCCAGTCAATAATCGAAGTAAAGTCACTTGAATCACACACCAACGCTTCGTTCCACCATTCGTACGGTGGAAGGCCAAGACGCGCGACACCTGGTGACCCGTTGACAGTGTTCGCTATGAGCTCTGTGGTATTGAATCGTCCGATGAGTGCCTTTGCGCGTGTGACCGGGTCTTTGGTAGTGTCGCATACAGGGTTACTGGCCAGCGGACCGTTGACGCAGTCGGGGAATGCAGCCTTCACAGGTGATGCAGCATACGAGCAGAGCGACAGAGTGAGAGCAACCAGGAGCATGTTGGGCTTCAGGTTAAGTCTGCGAATCAGACATCTTTATACAAGTAGGAGGACAGCGCCCGCTTGCATTGGCAGCTATGTAGAGAGAAGAACCTCGTTCCCCGAACCCGAAGTTCTACCGGGCATGAGAAGGATGCAAATACGTGAAGGTTGACTCTCTTCTTTCGAACCATTTGCAGAGGCTTCGTAGATCTGAAATTCAAGGAGCTATTCAGGCAAAGGGAGCGAGGAGCTAACGACTCTTCGACTTCGTAAACCGTTATTGGCAGCGGTATTTCCGTTTCACAAGGCCGGCAATGGCAGATCCAAATGCGCTGTCCGAGTCGGGTTTTGGTTGGCTGTGACCAGGGCCCGGTCCGGCGAGCATCGACTTCCACAGGTTCTGAACGGCTGCCGGGTCATCACAGGGCCTAACCCGTCTTGGCTTGTGATACCGTTAACGTTGGAGACACGGCAATTTTGCAACTTGAAGAAATTTCGGAATTGAGTATCGGCTCTATTGAGATGATTGCAACATCTTTGCGACGTTTGCGTTCCTCCAGCGCTGGAGACGAAGAGGACGATGAAGTACTGGTTGGACGGGAAACAGTCACGTGGGCTTGACTCAAGCCAAATCAAACAACCGCTCGCGTCTAGATTAGGGAATTTTGCGACCGATGCAGTGATCCTGTCCAATATTCCCTTAAGCACAGGGTAAAGAAACCAGGGAAAGCGTCCATAAATCAGGCTATTAATTGGCGTACGTTGCGTGAGTTTTTACTTGGCCTTTCTTCAATTAACTTTTGAAGTCGACACAGCGCCGCTGATCTTTAAAGATAAGCGCAACCATCAAAAAAAAAGTCGGGTATATTCCTTCTCGTACGCCAGTACATACTGTAAAAAGTTCTGGGGGCGGCCAACACGGCGTTGTAGCTCAGCTGGGAGAGCAGCAGACTGAAGAGACTGGCGAGTTTCCGGCAACAGAAATTGGCCGGTCGGAGCAACATCTGAAGGTCCTGTGTTCAATCCACAGTAATGCCATTCCTTTTTGTCTTTTTGCGCTAAGTCGAGCGCGGAGAGATGCGTCCTGAGCACCTATTTCAATGTCAGAGGCAGCCGATCACGCCCTGTGAGGTCGTGGAACACTCTTATCAATGCAATGCGGGTGGGCCTGTTTGCGGATCTTTTGCTTCTTCCTTGAAGAGCGATGCATTCCCTTGAGATACAAACCTTCAGGTCATTGACTCCAGCATTTATTATTCTCAGCGCTCTCAATTGGGCTCATTTCGATCGCTCCTTTGGGATTGCCAACGTCCGACATCGTGGAACGGTGTCAGCCCCTTCAAATACCCGAAGGCCATGTGTCGGGTAAAAACGTCGATAATCCAGGGAACACTTACCGTATTGAAAAGTGAAAGCAGTCTTGCTGATCGAGCACAATTCGATCGGCGATCGAGAGGCAAGTTGGCAACTCCCGTCCCAAGTGCATGTCGAAATAATATTTCTCGTGTGATAGTCAGAGCCTCAGGAGAGGGAAATGGAGATCCTACCGAAATAATGGATATTCCTTCCCGTATTTTCATCATGGCTTCACATTGCGCAAAACGATCATCGATCGTCGATCGACCGAAATGGGAATATTCTTACTATATACGGTGATTTTCGCTTTTCTGACACCGTTCGACGCTGAAGGCTCTTACCAGGATTGGAGATGGATCAGATCCAAGAATTGAGAAGCGGTATCCGTGTTAAATATGTACCTGAACCCACACAGTTCTTCTCTCGAAACGATCCAGGAATATAACAGTCATTCCAAGACTTTACTATAGTAACTATCAACACTCTAGGACTTCTCTATTTTGTCTAAACACGCCGCAAATTCCGCCCAGTCCACCATAATAGGATCTGCGCCTGCTTCTTTTAACACACTCTTCATCTCGTCCTGCTTCTCCGGTTCATAACTTCCCACATAGCCGACTGTGCGGATCCCCGCACGCACAGCGCTCAGCGTGCCGTTCTTGCTATCCTCGATCGCCACACACTCCCCCGGCTGCTTCCCAATGACCTTGCACGCATGCAGATAGATCGCCGGGTCGGGCTTACTCGTCGGTTTCTCCAAACTCGTCGCCGCGCTGAATATCCTGCTCCTCGGAAAATACTTGTCCATCCCAACCTTATCCACACTCGCCTCGACGCGGCGCCCCGCGCTCGAGCTCACGACCGCCATCTCGAACCGCCCCGACGCAGCGAGCCGCTCGAGCTCGGTGTCCGCGCCCATGCACGGCTCCAGCGCTGCATTAATCTTCTTGATGACCTGGTCCTCCTCACGGGTGACGTACTTGTCGAACTCGGCTGGCGGGAGGTCGAGGGAGTATTTCTGCTGCAGGGAGGTCATCATGCCGCGGAAGTTCTGCCCGACGAATTCGGTGAAGAGGGCGTGGCCGGTGTAGCGGTCGGATTTGCCTTGGGATTCAAGAATCTCGTTGGCGAGCTCAGCGCAGGCTTCGAAGGCGAGGGTTTCTGAGAGGACGAGAGTGTTGTCGCAGTCAAAAAGAAGGGTGGTGATCTGCCAGACGAGGTAAGGAGATCGCCAGATCGATGGATTAAAAACGCACCGGGGGCATTGTTGCAAAATCTATAGGTCTATGCAGATGAACGAATTCGCTGTGGGTGGAGGAAGAGAATGCGACTTTGGCGCGTGACGTCACTGGCGGCGCGTGATGTCATCACCTCTTGTCCCGAGGTTTCCGGTTGGCTCTTTCAGAATCTTGCTTGATTCCAGCTCTTTTGAATCAGACTAAGCTCCAACTGGTGGACGACGTGGAACCTTGAACTGCTGGCAACGCATTGCGCAATCCTTTGACGGTCCGGTGTCTGACCGATTTTGAACAAGTTCGACGTGGCGTCTGTGCTCTGAAGCTAGAGCTGGGTTTCGACCGAAAGCAAACTGCAGTAAAGGAGTCGAGTCTATGGTCTTTCGTCACTCCCAGTTGTCAATCCACTCGGCGGCTTTCACGCGACCTTTGCGACTTTTGAACACATGTTCTAGTATCAGCGAAGTGTCGCGCGCTGGGGTACAAACATTCTCTTAAAGTCTGTCAAACAATAGCATGTGTTTAGGGCATGTTTTCGGGGCCAGAAGGACTCTGCCCATTGACTTGGCATCGCGTTTGCGCCGGATGCATCGGTGTCGAGCGAAGCCGCGGTCTACCCCACGAAAATTTGACGGTGTTCCGCCAAGCTCGACCAGAAACTACGCTCTCGTCTTGTGATGGCCGACACATTTCTCCTGCCTAGTCGCGCTCTGAGGCACTGGTATCATGGGCTCGGATATAATTTGCGCAAGGGATCCGCCTGATGTGACAAATTCCATCTGAACTTGTGGCCACACCCCCTTTTTAAATATACTTGTTCTGCGACGTCAATATGCTATTCGAACAAAACTTGATGTTATGAAATTCATTCAAACTTGTGGCCACCCTCCCATGTTGTTCGATGGTCGTGGCTACGCGAAAATTGGTTGGCTAAAGCCCAAACATTGACAATCTTGGACCTACTGTATTGTCTTGCTATGTGAAGCGACTTCGGCAGAAAAATATTTAAGCACCGCTCTTAGCGGGAAACAAAAACGATATCGCATCGCATGGGTGACAAAAAAAAACAGGAGCACGCTACAGAAACAATAGGTCATTTCATTCAATGTCATTTTCGGTTTCATTTTCATCAGCACGAAGGACTCGAATATAGGGGTATCTTTATTGTTATAAATCTGTTCTTGCTTAGGGCCTGATCGGGTACTCTAGAATCGGCTAGGATCCCCTTGTAAACGCTTCCTGTAGAAATTGATAGGATCTTTTTGTCACGCTCTGTCACCTGCCACATCTAGGCTTCACGTCTGCCGCTTCCACCGACCAACATGCCTCCCAAACCTGCTGAAGACACCACCCCGAAGGCGCATTGGATCGAGGCCGAAACTACCGCGCTCATCGACGGTCTCATTGCCAAGAAATCGACTCACCAGTCCGGTAATGGCTGGAAGCCTTCAGTATGGGCCGGCGTCATCGCGCTCGTTGCAGCAGCAAACCCCGACGCGTCCCCGAAGAAGGATCAGACAAAGTGTATCTCCAAGATCAACTATGCATGCTCCCCCTCCACTCCTCCAGCCGTCTGAAACTGACTATTTTGCAGCTCAAGGAGAAGTTCGAGGCCTACCTATTTGTCAAGAAGTATAGCGGGATTGGGTGGGACGACGAAGACCACCATGCGACTGCAACGGAGGAAGTCATCAAGACGTTTCTTGAGGTGCGTCTCCATCCTTCATCTGCGACTTGTTGTTTCTCTGTACACGGCTCCTGCGCCGCGCTTCACCTATTCGCTGCTACTGCCAGCGTACCACCTCGGCTGTTGAATCAATCCTCATCTGCATCCCACCTCTGTCTGTGGCGTGTACCCGCTTCTCATGCCGGTAACCTTGTGCAGGCGCACGGCACCAAGTACGCCAGGTGCTTCAAGACACCCTGTCCCTACTACACAAGACTCGATGAGCTTTACGACGGGATGGTCAACAAAGCAACCGGAGAGCATGTCGTACATCTAGGCAACCCCGCCAAGAAGCGCAAATCAAAGAAGGCTTCCAATCCATCCACCACCTCAACCTCGACCACGACTCCAAATCCCGCAACGACGGCACCCAATAGCACCACCGCGACGACCGCGACAGCTGCAGCTGCTGGAAACGACGACGCCAACAAGGAGAATGAGATCATGGAGATAGACGGGGTCGAGGATAGCGCTGGAGGAGGAAAGGGTAGTGGCCGTTTTGACGACGAATTAATCTTGGTGCGTTCTGGCCAAACTTTTACACGGCCTTACCATAACACATTTTTGCAGTCCCCACGCACAAAAGCCTCCAGGAAGCGCGCGCGCGCGATCAGCGAAGACGAGGACGATGACACCGGCAGATCTCACAAGCGCGAGAAATCAGACTCCAGCTCGCGCAGCGGCATCGCGCGTCGCAACGCGGAGGCCGGGACTCAGATCGCCCGCTCCGTTGACGCCCTCTCCGACGTCCTCGCAAAGCCCGTCGTCACCGCCGAGGACATGTCCCATGTCGACAAGGTCATCGAGATTCTCAAGGACAAGACGCTTCTCCCTCCTGACCCTCGTGGGCAATTCTTCCGTCTCGTCTCTCGGGAGCTCGCGGGCAGCCCCGCTCTCTCACGCATTTTGATTGTCGAAGCTGATCACACCCGTCGCAAAGCATTGCTCGAAGGCATTCTTGAAGATGCAGGTGTTGTCATTCCTACAAACGACGACGCCGCCGCCGCCGCTGCCGCCATTGGACCTGTTTAGAATCGTGGCTTGTGCCTCTTGCCTCTGTACTTTCATGGTCGCATTGGACTCTTTCTGTCATGCATCGCATACATCGCATTCTGTACTTCAATACATCAATCATACACTGTTTCTACTGCATATCAGGGTGATCTAAGATGTACTCGTTCCACATCGCCTGTGCGATCGCATCTCGACGCGCATCCGCACGTGTCCTTTCAGCATTCGACAGCGCAGGAGCTGGTGGCGCTTCGTGTACGGCGTCCGCGTTCGCAAAGAAGGGAAGACCTTCGACGTCGTATTCTTCGTCACCCTCTAGATCATTGATGCCTGCATGCACACGAAGGAAGTTGTGCAACGCCCCAGCTGCATTCACCATCAATGCCTGCTGCCTATAACCCATCTCTGGTGCCGACGTGAGGACCCGAAACTGACGCTTCGTTACGCCGAATATGCGTTCGATGACATTTCGCAGCTGCGCGTGTCGTAGATTGAAGAGTTCTTCCTTTGTCTGAGGCCTAGAAAATTGTTAGTAGATATACATTGTGGAAAGACAGATGGTAACCGTTGTCCCCCACGTTTCCATTCGTTCAAATGATACCGAATGCCGCGGTATGGAGCGAGGAGAAGGTCACAGTTGGCGAAACCAGCGTCGGCAAGGTAGTAGCATCCTTCAGGTAGTGAGAACCCGTGCTGCCGCGCGCAGTTGA